AAGTAAAGTCCAGATATAATTTCGTATGAATGATGTTACACCACAAGAATACATGTAAACGTTTCTTTAACTATAAATAGTTAGTTGTAATCTGGTATTTATCGTATGACGGAATTAAGATATAATTATGCCATCCTAATTTGAAACAATATATACATAGTAGTTCCAACTTTCAATTACTTGTAGAATGCTAGCGCAGTGGTTACTTCATATTATCATGGGAGACTGCAGGTTTTCTGTTTAAAAATCGATTATAATCTAATTTTTAACCATTTTTCTTTTACATGAGTAAAGTATTGCAAGAGCAAATATAACTTTTTTTTTATCAATATAATCATATTTTTTCAGAACTTATAGAACCTTTTACAGTATCATTGTGGATAAAAAGGTCGAACTATCAGTTTTCATAAATTGGTGATTAAAAATAATATGATAATTGATAAATTAGAGAAATTCAATTAAGACTAAAGTCTTTATACAAGAGTTTTTTCTTTTCTACTTCGAATAATGATAGTTCATCATTCAGTAAAATCTCTTATAAGAATTTGCTTGTCGAAAAAAATATTTAACAGAAAAACTTAAACTTACCACTAAATATTAAATGATTTGATCAATAGTTCGTTTTTACGACTGAGTATGATTAAGTGAAAACCACTTGATTTTTGTTTCAATTAAATTGTGTTAATAAAATGATCCAATATAAATATCATGTTATATTTATCATAGAAAATATAAGAATAATTCTTCGATAGTTGTTGAAAAATTAAAATAATGTTTAATTCAAGATTTATGAACTTAGAAACTAGCTGATTTTATGTGGACAGCTGCAACTCAAATCATATGTGACTAATAAACTAACAATAATAACTTGAATATTATCACTCCTATTACATGAATTATAACATACATAGTTTAAAAATCAAAATCTATGAAAATATTAATATAAACTACAACTCAACTCATACAACTTGTTTTTTGCTTTTCTACTATAGTTACTATAGCATTTTACGATTAAGATCCTCGATCATCAATATACATCAACAGTAGTTAGCAATTTACAAACTAAAACATTGATTGGTATGTTTATACTGTATAACTAATGCTAGCAAGTTTTACATTTGAAATCTTGATTTTGTATAGATAGTGAGAATGATCTTGAAGACGAAGACATCATCAATTGTACTACAAAAATCGATCGAAATTTGTGAAGAAAAGTGAAGAGATACCTTATTTTTCTTCCTAATCTGCTCACGATTTACTAATGTCGTTATCAATTTGTAACAATGAAAATATAAAAAATATGTTATTCATCCAGTCAACAAGCTATAACACAATAAAATCATTGAGACAGTATAGATCAAATTCCGATAGTATAATTATATCTATCAATAAATGGATGATTAAATAAATTCGGAGTCGAAGACGAACGGATTAATACACTACCTATGACTATAAACAGATGTAAAACGTGCACGTTTTTTATTTTTTCATTATCGCAACGATCATTGATGCATAGATTACCTATGTTTGATTCACATCAAACAGAAGAACACATCGAGGACATTCTTTTTTTCGTAGCACGCGTAGCGAACATTATTCAAAATCAATATAAGAAGAGAAAAGAGGAAAGATACTTTAATCAGCTCTATTATATTACAATATGAAGATTGATGAGACTATGCAAAAAGTGAAACCTTATCTATATTTATATCATACAGTATCAAAGTCTTTTACTTCATTATTCAATAAAATAAAAAATAGTTTTTTTATCATATTCTTCTAATACAAAAATTCCATAAAATTATCGATTTTTTTATATAATCTCAGATACATGTAACATTTTTATCTTTACTTATCTATGTTGTGAAAATCGCGATGATTTCGAAAAAAACAATCGGTATAAAATCATGTTTAATCGCTGTTCGTAAAAATATTGATGATTAAATCAGTGTAATAAATCATGTTTAATCATTGATTTCGAATCACTCATTAATTCCCATGTAAACATGAAACGCAGAATAGACGCGTATAATCGCGTTTCTTATTGAAAAACGCAGTGAGACGCGGTTAAAACTGAATTTTCCTGCGTTTAGACGCGTATGTATGAACAAACGCATACAAACGCAAAAAGAAAATAATCTGAATTTGCGTCTAGACG